TTCCCTGTGGGCGGGACAGGCCCTAACTAAGAGGCACCCGATCCTTGGCCCAGGAGTCAAGTTCAGTACCTAGGATGGGTGACAGAGTTGGGGAGAAACCCAGGTTTCCCACTAGCCAGATCCCAGTGCTTGAGTCAGGAGGCACCTAGATAGAGCCAGAGACATTAGGACCCTCTCAGATCCTGGAGGACAGTAAACTCTAGGGAGCAGGTGGAGAGAGGGGAGTCCTTAGTCACCTCTTGAGTCCACCTGGATGACAATTCCCCAGGATAATTGTGAGCTGGAAGAGGCTAATATCTAAACCTTAGCAGGGGTTGGAAATCCCAAAGCCGGCCTAGGATGCTCTTCCTAGATCCCCAGGACAGCAGGAACCTTACAGAGAAGCCCAGGTCTGGGCGAATGGCCCCCCAGATTGCCTTCGGTGCCTCAACTGTCTGCTTCCAGTTACCCACCTGAGCAGCAGCCTCTCCATTCCCACAGAGGGTCCAGGGCCAGTGGGACAGAATCCTGTGAGAGATGACGATGGGGAGAATCGGGGAAGGCTGAGTGCCTCCCAGTGGAGCAGAACACACCCTGCTTTATCTCAAACAGGGCTGCTTCAGGGGCTGCTAACCGCCTACGACACAGAGGGCTTACACTTCAAGGAGGGGTCACTGGGTGTCACCACTGCTGCTCAGGCAAGTGCCTTCGCGGCTTAGCTCACACCAAAGGCACTGGAGGGAGAAAATTCCTTCTTCCCGACATGTTCTGTGTCCCCTGTGAACATCCAGACATGCACGGTCCATCATGGAGTTGCTCCCTTGCGTCTCTCTCCTTCCTAGCTCACTTAGCGGAATTCAAACTCTGCATCCTCCATAGCAGATACAGGCAGCCGGAGAAGGTCACCCAGCAAAACTGGCTTTGCCTTCGATTCGTGGTCACGGGCACTCATTCCCGGTAAGCAGTCTGTCCCTAAGCATCAAGTCCTACTCTCTCACTCCCTTAGATTTTGTGTCTTCAAACCTTTCGTGCCCCTCTTCCACTTTCATGTGAAACTTTCATTTCATTCAAAAACAAATAGAAAAAAACAGGTACTAACTTCTTCATTGTTTCATCACCATATGTCTAAATGCACCTGTGTTTATACATGTCTTCTCTTTCACTTCTACTCTGAGTCCATTGCCCCTCTACATTCTCAAAGTTGTAGATTCTTTGCCTTTTTTCTGCCTTCTTCTGAATTAACATCTCTATCTCCGAAAATTTCCATCAGCAAACAATTAAGCTCTAATACCTCTCTTCTGAAAAATCCGTACTGAATGATTCCCTGGCTTCTAGCCTGTGTCTCTGTTCTCTTCAGTGCTAAATTGCTCCTTCAACACCATCAAAAAAAGCTGTCTACACTAATTCTTTCCCATTCACTCTTGAACTAATTCCCACCCTGTTCCAGTGCGTTGACTCCTCAAGGTCACTATGACCTCCACGTTATCAAGTGCAATGGACGTAGTATCTCCTTGTAACATCCTCCCTAGGACCGTGCACAGCACACCAGACCACTGTCTCCCCTCATGGCTTCCCCGAAACCATACCCTCCTAATTCCGCATATTTCTGCTTCTTAGCTTCATCTTTCAGTTCTCTATTACCTGACTGTAAATATTAGAATGTCTTTGGTGTTGGTTTTGGAACATCTTCCCTCCCTTTTTACCCCAGCTCTCCGGGTAGTGGTACCCATTCCTGCTGATTTGTGTATCACCTTCCTCTGCCATTGACACCCAAGGTTGTACCGTTGGTCCAGTCATGTCTGTTTGACATCTCCATTTGCATGTGTCACAGGTATTTAAAGCTTTGCATGTCCAGAATGGAAGTCTCTCCCAGAACACCTGCCGTCCTCCTTTGGTCTTCACCTCTGCAACTGACACCAGTGTCTACCACACTGCTCAAGGCCCACACCTAGGAATCCTCACTCTTTCCTTCATTCCACATATCTATTCCATTAGCAAACCCCTTTTGACTCTTTCTCAATTTCATTTCAAATCTCTTTACTTTTCTCCATCTTGACTGCTACCTACCACACTCAACTCAGGCCACAATCATCTCTCTACTAAACTCATGCAGAACATTTTATTTTTTAAATATATTTGATTGATTATGCCATTACAGTTGCTCTATTTCCCCCCTTCATTCCCCTCCCCCCTGCACACCCCTCCCCCACCATTCCCCCCCTTTAGTTTGTGACCACGTGTCTCAAGTTCTTTGGATTCTATATTTCCCATACTATTCTTGCCCTCCCCCCTATTTTCTACCTATCGTCTATGCTACTTATTTTCTATAGCTTCTCCCCCCTTTTCCTCTTCCCATCCCCCTGTTGCTAACCTTCCATGAGATCTTCATTTCTATGGTTCCCCTCCTGATCTAGCTGTCCTCTTAGTTTGCTTTTGTTTTAGGTGTGGTTGTTCATAACTGTGAGTTTGCTGTCCTTTCACTGTTCATCTTTTTTATCTTCTTTTTCTTAGATAAGTCCCTTTAACATTTCATATAATAAGGGCTTGGTGATGATGAACTCCTTGAATTTGATCTTATCTGAGAAGTACTTTATCTGCCCTTTTATTCTAAATGAAAGCTTTGCTGGATAGATCAGTCTTGATTGTAGGTCTTCGGATTTCATGACTTGAAATACTTCTTTCCAGCCCCTTCTTGCCTGTAAGGTCTCTTTTGAGAAATCAGCTGACAGTCTGATGGGAACTCCTTTGTAGGTGACTGTCCCCTTATCTCTTGCTGCTTCTAGGATTCTCTCCTTCATTTGAATTTTGGCTAATATAATTATGATGTGCCTTGGTGTGTTCCTTCTTGGGACGAACTTCTTTAGGACTCTCTGAGCTTCCTGGATTTCCTGGAAGTCTATTTCCTTTGCCAGATTGGGGAAGTTCTCCTTTATTATTTGTTCAAATAAGTTTTCCACTCGTGGCTGTTCCTCTTCCCCTTCTGGTACCCTTATAATTCAGATGTTGGAATGTTTAAAGATGTCCTGGAGGTTCCTAAGCCTCTCCTCATTTTTTTTCAATTCTTGTGTCTTCATGTTTTTCTGTTTGGTCGTTTTTTTCTTCCTTCTGGTCCACTCCCTTGATTTGAGTCCCAGTTTCCTTCCCATCACTATGGGTTTCCTGTGCATTTCCCTTCATTTCACTTAGTTTAGCCTTCATTTGTTCCTCTAATTTGTGGCTAAAATCAACCAGTTCTGTGAGCATCCTGATCACCAGTGTTTTGAACTGTGCATCTGAAAGTTTGGCTATTTCTTGGTTGCTTAGAGTTATGGGCACTGGGGCTTTGAGCTCTTCTTTAGCCATAATGTTTTGCTCTGTTCGTGCCTGTTACATATGAGGAGCAGAGCCTTAGGTGTTCACCAGGGCGGGGCCACCCAGGTGGCTGGTTTGTGACGCCATATGTGGGGGCGGGGTCAGAGAGGGGCAATAGCGGTTTCCTCTGCTGCTTCCCGCCACTGGGGCCTGCGCGGTCCGTCTCACTGCTTGCTCCTTCACCGGTTTATCTGCACGTGAATGTGTGACCACGGTAAGCCCTCAGTGGGTCCACCCGCTGCTACTCCACACGTGGGATCCACCCACGTCTGCCTGCGCACCTGGGTTGCACCCTCGGGTCAGTCTGGTGGATCTTTCCTGCCCGACCCTGCTTTGCTGCTAACTCTGCCCCTCTTACCGGTTTGGCTGAAGGGTTCATTGTTGTCAGACTTCCATATAGTTCAATTTTCTGTGGTTTGGCTGCATTTTTGTTGCTAAAACTTTGTCGTTTTTAAACTTGGTTGTGCTAGAAGGCACAATGTTTCCACCTACACCTCCATCTTGGCGGAAGTCCCAAAACATTTCTAATTAAGCTTCCCATTCCGCACTCTCTTCAATCTGTTCCAAAAATACTTTGTATTTTCATCTGAGTATATACATAAAGCTTTGAGGTGTGCTTAAGATTTACACACTTTACTATAGGTTATACCTCAACTAAAACCAAGCCACCAAAATAAGATGTCGATTCCTGAGTTAAAATCCTTCAATGGCTTCATGTTTTCCTTGGAACTGACACCTTCCTGAAAAGGCCCCAGCCTTTTGCTCCAGCCTCATCTTCTATTGTACTTCTCCCTTGATTGGCAGAACCAAGCTGCCTGAACATTTATCTAGTTTTTCTAACAAGCTGAAAGCTTTCTAGCCTGCCTCAGGACCTTTGCTCAGGCTACTACTGTTCCCTCAGCCCAGAATCTTTCCTCCTGCTGAGTACCTACTATTCCTTCTTGTCACCTCCCCAGGCCTTCTCAGATCCCCACATCTAACTCATATCATCCTGTTTATTTCTGCTCCTATCATATTTTTACAATACTATTATATAATTTTTTAAATTTTTTCCACAATTGGGACCAGCAGATACATTTGAAAGTACATGCTACTATACTAAGTGCTACATAGCTAACTAACACCACAAGCCTTATAGTCAAAGACCAAGCAGATCCCTTTGCATTTTAATTTTTAGTTTACATAAATCAAGGTAGGGGTACTTAAGTTAAAAAACAAATAAATCAACAGTTTATTGCAGGACAACAGCCTCTGCCCTTGAGCTGGAGGGAGGAGAGAGTTGGCAAGTTCACCATGTGACAGGCTCGGTTGTGTGTCTCCTCCAAGAAGACAACAGGTAAAGCTCAAAACGGGGGGGGATGCTGAAGAAAAATGTAAAAACTACAGACAACACAAATAACACACATACCACAACACATGCCACAAGAGAAAATACTTTTTTTTTTTTTTTGCACGCATTTAGTCAGAGGCTAAAAATACAGGACCCAGGGTCCAGGTGTGTGGCCCCAAGACTCCAGGACAGTGGTCTCCTCTCAGACATCTTGTCTGCCAACACAGCTCCCTGACATCACCAATTTGTGTGCGCAAGGACAAGCATTTCGACAACAGGGCCATTCAGAACCACTTTGTTTATTCAAATGTTCTTCCGAGAGGATCTCTGCTTGACTGCTTCAAGGATCTCGCTGCTGGTGGTTGTAGAAAGACAGGCTACCTACCTCCTGGAGAGCCCGGAGAGCCCAGGAGCACCCACTGAAGTCTGAGTGCATCTGGGGGAGAAACAGTGCAAGGGTGAGACAGAGAGGCGAAGGCTTCCCATAGTGAGCAAGTTTTGGTCTAACCCAGCACCCCTGCTTCTGTGGATTTGTTCGTATGTGGAACCACATAAATGACCCAAAGAGACGATGGTAGGAATGTGGTGAAAGATGTACAGCCATCAAGCCCATTGACTGTCTCTGAGGAGGGTGGATGAGGAATTTGTTGTTGGTGAGAGAGTTGACCCTTGTATGGATGATATACACTAATTCTGGTCACTTCAACTTCTGTGCCTACTGGAAGCAGAGTTAACACCCAACACCTTCTGAGGATGGAAAACATAATTTTAGTTAACTGTACTTTCATACTCTATATTTCATATTACTAAGCATTTTGTGTTACTATTTCTCCATTTTCAGCTGTACATCCCTGTGCCAACATGATCTCCAGCCAAGCGGGGAAAACTTGCTCTTCCTCCGGTGGATGTGTCCCTGTGCTTTCTGGTCTCCATGCCCCATGCTCTATCTGTCGCACCTACGGACCACACCCATGCCCAACTCCAACTTTCAACCTATCTTTCTGTTAAGGCTCCTCCCCACGTGTCAACTCCTGCTTATCTACACTCTACACGTTATTGAGTCCCTCCCCCCTCTGAGGACCAGAGCACTTAGTGTTCTCTGAACCCTTGTCACAGGCTCCTCTGTCATTAGCATTCTCCAAAGTGAGAGAGGCAGCAAGAATAGTCAAAAGGAGGCTGCCCTGAGAATCACCCATTAGGACGGGACTCCCATCCTAACTCTGTCTGGACATGAGATGTTGTGTAAGCAAGTCACCTTCTCCCATTAAGCCTCATTTTCTTTTTTGTGGAAGGAAAGGCCTGCAGTGGGATTTGTAAAATTTCTCCTGGTTCTAAGGATGCACCGTTTCCTCAATGCCCCACCCTCCCGTGGCAGGGTTATGAGCCCCTTTGCAGCAGAGACCGCCTTGTCTGCACCTGAGCTCCCGCAGCAGTCTGTCCGGGCTAGCACTTAAACACTCTACCCCTTGATCCAACCACTGTTTTGTCCTCACAGGCCCCAGAGAGGCTGACCCCAGGCACAGACTGACCCTGTGGAGGCTTGAAGAAGCAGGCCCATGTGATTAAGGACAGGCCAAAGAAAGACTAAAGATTGGAAGACTGCTTAGTCCAAGCATTCCTACGGAGGGCCCTTCCAGCTGAGTGCAGGATCTCCTGCAGCAGTTCTCAACGGGGGGTCATTTTGCCCTCCAAGGGATATTGAGCAATGTCTGTGGACATCTGTGGTTGTCACAACTGGGAGGGAGGGTCCTACTGGCATTTAGTGGGTAGAGGCCATCGATGTTGAACAACATTCTACAGTGCACAGGATAGCCCCTCCCCCCACCAACAAAGAATCATCCAGCCCCAAAATGCCAGTTGTGTCGTGGTTGAGAAACCCTGCCATATGTCATGCACCCTCTCTCCTCCTATCTTTCCTTCCTCCCATTTCCCCCATTCTCCCAGGATAAGCTACATTCCAAATGATACTACTAAAATGCAGGGGCTTTGGTACAATAACTCGTGAACACTCAGCCTTGCTTTATCATCATGAAGAAGTAAAATCTATAATCAAGCCTCAGCACATCATAGAACCCCTTCACTGTCCTCCCCATAGCTTCTTTTGAAGGGGAAGACTTTCCCAATTTTGTCTTCTACAACTTGTCTGCTATGGCGTGAGGTTGGTGGGCAGGAAGAAGGAACACAGGTGTCTTCCTACTTTAGGTACCTTCTAAGTATGGAGCACCATTGAATGAAAACCTTATTATGCAACTCTTCAAAGTAAAGAACAGAGTAGTGGTGAATCCCTCCCCCGCCCCACAAGAAAAGAGGGCATTTAAGAATCAATTTACAGATTGCCTGTCAACAGATACAAGAAAGGAGGCAGAGAGAGCTCAGGTGTTCTGAGCTGCTGCCAACAGAAAGACAGCCAAGGGGAGAAGATAGCAGCCGTCAGCAGATCCAGTTAACAGAAGCTGTCTGTGCACTACTCTTCAGGAACTCAATGTGTGAAGAAGGACTCCTGTGTCAGAGTAAGTTGAAGTCAAGAACACACCCAGGGCCATGAACACGATACCCGTCTTGGCCATTTGAAAGTTCCACGAAGACAGTCCCAACTCATTTGCTTTAGGATTTTTCCCATGTAACCAAAAATAGGCCTTCTTTTTCCTTCTCCTCTTTTCCCAAAGGCTGAGCTGGCCCACTCATACTTCTTTTTGGCTGGTATATGTTTTAATCTGAGGGAACCTTTGGCCATGTAAGCAAATGAGGTACACGTGGGAGGCATCACCCTTACACTTCTAGGCCACAGCGCTGGCTGTGGGCAAGTGTATGCTCTGATAAGGTTTTACAGGGAGAGCTGGAAAGCACACTTTCCTAATAAAATAAGTGGTTGGTGACTGCACCTGCAAGAGGTGAATGGCTCTCAGAAGCCATAGGGGATGTTAGGTGAAGAGTCGAAAGCAGGCATGTGTTACATTCCCGAAAGGAGGAGCGTGAGACAGGAAACCCCAAATCTCAAGCTCTCTCCCATGTGAAAAAGAAAGTGGCCACTGATGTAATGGCCCTCAGCTTTCCAGGCAACACTCATCTCAGATGTTCTTTTTATGTGTCTGACTCCATGTGGACTTAATTATAGTGGTTCTTAGCCACAAAGAACTCTAAAGGACTGGGAGTGGAATCTTGAACGTTGTATTTTTCTAAAGCATTCCAGGTGAATCCAGTGACCAGCCAGATTTTGGACACACTGGTCAAACCTTCCCAAAGCAACTGCACGGGATTTGGGGTTGGGGTGGCAGGACAGCTCTTCACGGACATTGTGCTGTGCACTGGGTGTTTGCATTTGCAGTCAGGAAGAAATGCCTCCTGAAAGGCAAGTATATACCTGGCTGTGCAATAGCAATTAGGAACTGGGGTGACAAAAGAAAGCCAAGAGGGCACTGTACCTTCCAGAGTGAACGTTGGGAAATTATAGGTACAGAGGCCATGAACTCCCTGCAATTACTGTATCAGATCAGCATTAAGGAAGTGACCCATCTGATGTAAACCAACAGATAAGAGGGCACCGGAGAACCAGGGTGTAGAAGGAAGAGAAGGATCAGACCAAAACAGACACCCTTTCTTCCCCCATTTAATTATGAGCCCATCAAAGCCCGGGCAGGGGGACTGGTGGAGCACAGGAGTATTGTCAGCTGACATTGATTGAGCTCTAACCATGTCCAGACCCCAAGCTAAGTGCTTAACATACTTTACCTCATTTAATTATCATAGCAACATTAGGAGGGAGGATGTTAGTGTTACTTTCAGGAAGAGGAAACTGAGTTTCAGGGGCTTAAGTGAGTTGCCCAGGCCACGCACAGTGTGGCAAACAGGTTCAGAACCGGCCCCTGAACACTCACTTCCAGCCTCCTGCTCTACCACCTTCCAAACCTGAGCACCAGAGCATCACCACCCTTGTGGGCACACAGGGGTGCTCTGAACAGTTGCTACATGTATTTAGTCATTGATGGAGAACTTTGAATGTAACATCCACAGGGTAGGCTCAATTCTTTTGAATTAATCCTCTGATAACAGCAGCAGAAGCTAAACCGAACGCTGCTGTGGAAGAAAACGTGGTTCCCTGTTACCTGGCTGTCAAAGGCACGTCCCACCTACCACCCCACCCCTACTCTCACTTCACCAGCTCCATCTCTCATGATTTCTCTATTTAAAAAAGTAATCCGTGTACAGAGCACATGATGAAGTGAACTGGAAGTTTTCATACAAAGCAGCAAATACCAAATGGCAGGCATCTGCAAGGTTCTGTGGGATGGCACACTTCACTGGACTAGGGCACCAGGGAGGGGCAGACCAGCAGCGGACTGATGTCAAGAGGATGCTGGAGAGCATCTGGGGGAGGCGAAAAAGAACAGATGCGTTGTGGCCGTGGGAGTGTAGCACAGAGGCCTGGCCAGATGGCATTTACCTATTCAGAAATACTCGGTAAATTTTGATCCCCTACTAAGTACAAAGCTCATGGATGGTTATGCCTAGAAATGGTAATAAATTCCCAATAGGAATTGCAAGTCAAACAGAGAAAAGTCATAGGGTGATTGGAAGACCCACAGGCAGATATTAGAAATCTTAGTCTGCTAAAAAGGACATGAATAGTTATCACCTGCTAATAATTTCCCAGTCCTGGAGACAAAGAAAGCAATTTCCCCAATAGCAATGCTGGTGAGTATTTACTGAGTGCTTACTACCCGCTTTGAATTATATGAAGCACTTTATAGTCAACATGTCATGGGTTTAATACTCAGAGATGGGTTTTACCTTCTCTATAACAAAGATAAGGAAACAGGCTTATTATACAGACAAATTTGTTCAACGTCACACGGGTAGTAAGTTGCAGAGCTAGGAATTAAACTCTGGTGTGTCTGACACCAAAATTCCCATCACTATCCCTCCAAGCCACGTCCCCTGCCCACCTACAGCAGAATCTCCTGGTCCACTTATTAAAATGAAGAAGATCCCCAAGCCCCATCCTAGCCCTCTGGTACAGGTACCTAAAGCTTGGGCGCCACCATACCACCACTGCCTCCCAGGTATGGAAAAATGCTGCTCTGAATGGAATCCTATTCAGTAAAGGGAGAAAGATTTACACGATCTGAAGAGAAACCAGAGTATTGAAATCCTATTCAGAAGAGCTAATTAGAGACTTGGGAAGGATGGAAGCACCAGGAGAAAGTGACCGTCACAAGGCTAAGACACAAAGCACGGAAATGGAGACTGCAGGCTTCAAAGAGATCAGAGAAAACAGAGTCAGGATTCTGTGGGCAGCAATTCTAAAAGACGGGTCAATGCAAGAAAAGCAGGAGGCTCTTCCTTAACTGCCTATGAACTTGGCCCCCTCTTGGATTACAATTGACCCTGGTCCTATCTTGGTGGAATATTACATCTAAAGGCCACACCAAGCTGATAAATAGGGATAATGAGTAACAAGAGCAGAAGATGGGAGACTTGGGAGCTGTGGGCATACAGGGCATGGAGTGAGTCTAGGCAGTGATTCAGGAGTAAAACGGTGTTGGAATCTGCTTTTATGTGGAGACATCTGCAAGGGGCGGGCTGGCCTGACAAGTCAAATGGCCCAGGCTGTTCCAGGCACAGTAGCACAGTGCAGAGGGGATTCAGGCCTTGGCTGGGGTGTTGCATTACAGGGCCTCTGAGCTCTCCTAGATTCTGTGGATTCTACTTGGAAGTCATTGAAAATTTTCCCCTGTATCACTTCTTTAGGGTCAGGCTGTCAGAATCGGGATAGAAATACTGCTCATATTATTTCTACCTCTAAACAGTCTGAAGAATCAATCCAGTTGATCAGAAAAAGTCAGAGGGGCACACTGTGCATTTCAACGTCGTCTTACTTCAGGATCTTAACTCTAGGAGACGGGTGCTGCTCACCAGCTGAGGAACTCTGGGTGAATGGCAGGAGGAGAGGGGGTTGCTGGGGAGGCGGATTAGAACGTGTCGCCTTGAGTATGATGTCGCTTCTTCCCGGAAAATCAGTTCTGTAGACACTAACCCAATATTAATGGTGGATGGTATTAGTACAAACTGCCTGCTGACTTGACAGCCGAAGAGAAGAAAATTTAAATCTTTCTCAACCCCAGCAACATCTTCTTTAACCTCTACTCCAAGCTTTTAGAAGTGGATGGAGTAAGGGCGGGGGTGGGGGAGGATATGAGTGCCCTACTCAGGAACGGAGTACAGAAGTCCTGGGGTTACCCAAAGAAGATGTAGGGTGCTGTCCTCCCTACTTCTCTTTACTCCTCCCCACACAGTGTCTCACAAATAGATGTCCATGTGGGTAGTGGACGATGTCCACATTGGGCAGTGGACACTAGCCACTACCCAAATCAGAAGTTCAAAGTTTTGGTCTCAGCTCTACTAGTGCCTCACTCTGACCTGGTCAAAGTCAGTGGCTCTTCTTGGGACTCCACTTTCCCATCTGTGAGTGGAGGACACAGAGCTCCTTTCAACATAATTGAACTAAGTGTAAAGTTTGGAGATGCCTCCTGAAGAGGGTGGGGGAGGGAATGGAGAAGGAAGAAGAGAAGGACGGACAGCAGGTGGCGTACGGTCAGATTCCTTAGATTCTCACTACTCAGAGTGTGATCTGCAAACCAGCAGCAGCCGCATCACTCAGAGATCTTGTCAAAAGGCACATTTTTATTCACTGGGTCAGGGGCAGGGCCTGAGACTCCCTACTTCTAACACACTTGCAAGTATACACACTTTAAAGTTGGAAATATCCTGCTTTAAGACATTATCGGTCCACGAATGAACTGTGGATGTGCCTTTTTGGTTTTCCTTTCATGGGTTCCTATCACACTCCCAAATTTTCTAGCTCTAGGACTACTGCCAGTGGCTAGAATAGTTTAAGATTTAGTGGTTTTCTGGCTTGGAGCTTAGAGAAATGCCCCATGCTCCTTGAAATATAATATCCACACAGATCTATCCACACACATTTACTAATAAATTAACCCACTAATGAATGCACCTATTCTATTCAAGAAATAATCTGAGGGGCACCAGGCACAGCTTGAGGGTTCAAAATCAAGGACGAGTACAGCATGGCCCTGTTCTAGAGAGTTTCGGGACACGCCTAGACAGCCAACTACAACTCAATGTGATGAGTACTTATGTAGTTAGCAAAGAGGATACATTCCAGTGACATGTTTATAGTCAGATACTACGTTGTCACAGGCAGAAAGAATTCTGGAGGCAGTCCCGGGTTGTGTCCGCCTCCACCATCTGATTCCGCCTTTCCTGTGGTCTTAAATCTGTGGCTCCTCTGCCCACAGAGGAGGATGTGCTCTTGGGACAGTCCCTGTGTGGTGACTCACAGGATACTGACAGTGATGACTTGCTTAAATTCTTCTCCGTTCTCTGATGACAAGGACCTGTGGTGTGACCCTTCCCTTAGTCCAGGGGTTCTTAAGTTGGGATCCACAGACAGGTTATTTGGGGCTGAGGTGATGGGGGAGGAGTCCATGCACCACATGTTTTGTGTATGTGCTTAATATGTCTGTCTTGAGAGAGAAAGTCCACACATTATTATCAAAGGATGGTGAGACCTAAACATTGAGAACCGGTGCTTGTTACTGTCCATCTGCTGCCCTGAGGTCCTGGCAGCGGCAGCCGCTTCCTTCTCTTCTTCCTCCTCCGTCTCCTCCCCCTCTTTAGCTGGCATCTCCAAACTTCCTCTGTGCTTAGTTTGGT